ATAGCAATACGTCGAAAATAAGCATGCCATGCTTTTGCTTCATATCTTTTCCCAGCCATTTGATATTTAGCAAACATTTGTATAAGATGTTTCAAACGTTCTTGATTATCACATAGAAGAATGTCTTTGATGGATGTTGAATTTGACATATGTAAATATTCAAAGGAACTAGTTATTGAATTCGATTGAGTGTATTTAGTAATTTGATTTAATTGAGTTAAAATCTAGTAGTATTTATATGTGAAAATTAGTATAGATTTCATCACGACAATCCTATTTCTAGTATCTTTGCGTTGGAAGAAAAAATGTCATGCTCGTCATGATTCAGTGCATATTTTGAGTAATTCATTCTCTTTTTCATGTCTCACGTTTTTCTTCCTTATTTGGTTTAATAGGGAAGTACAATATATAGTTATAGGTATATAGGTGTTTCAGTTTATTGAAAATGATCATAAACATGGAAGTGCGTAAAAGTTAAAATAATAAAAACGACAAAATCAATCATATTTTCTCAAATATTTATTTTTGTTCTGTTATAATTCCTTTGTTTTTACTTGTTTACGAAATTCAAAAATCATATGAAGCAAATATATATATTTGTATATATATGTACTCTTTTATTCTTCCATAAATCCGGATTCATAAAGTTTTTCGATTAATGATGCAAGACCTTGATTAACAGCCTCTTGTGCAACTAAAGGAATTTCTTCTAATCGTCCATCATGAATTTTTCCAATTACATCTCGAAAATGTTCAACATCATCGGATGACATTCGTAATCTTTTAGCGAAACTATTAATATTTTTTGCCACTAAGAAAAACAAAAAGAAGAAATTTTTATTTTCTAATAGATAAATAAAAACAACAAAATAATACAAAAATTTTTACCTGAAAATGCGGATGCTAATGTATCTAACCAAAATGATTTATTTTTTTCAATAGAATTAGAAAGTTTTTCACCAAATAAAAATGTAAATAATTGTGAACCATGTAATACGTATGCAGCATGAAGAAAATTTTCAATATTCTCTTTTGCTGGTCGTTTAACTAGAAAAAAAAAAGAAAAACATTATAATGTGTTTTTTTTCAAATAATTTCGAAAATATCTACTTACCTGCAATACATGTTTCTTCATTTTCATCGAGATTACCAGGACAATCACCTGCATGACCATCGCAAATAAATTGGAGAGCAATACATCGTTCACTTTGTGGACATTGAAATGGTTCCGATGGATCAATACAACCTAAATAAAAAGAACAAGAAAATTGGATTGAATATCAAATTAATATTTTCTATGATTATTATATTTACGAGACAAAATTAGTTAATTATTAATAGTTTTTTATTTTGTATAGAAATAAATTTAAGATTATTTCAAGAGAAAAAAGAATGATAATAATATGTACCTTTAAATTGATGACTTGTTCTTAAAGCATCGAATGGTGATGCTGTTGAACGAGTTTCAGCTGCACTATCAACTGGTCTTTTTACAAACCATCTTTTTAATAAATGATTTTGATGGTGATTAGAATCAGTAAGCCATTGTTGACGTAGACCATTTGCAGGTAACCCAGCAAATTCGGCACTATTAGCTACTTGAATAAGAGCTACCAAAGAGAAGATAAAAATAGCAAGTTGTGATGAGATTAATTTCATCATTATTGTTATGTTGATGGTTAGTCTTGTGAAAAGGTGGAAAAATGCTAGAAATTAGTAAAAACAAAATAGAAGTTCTCTAGAGAAATGTGAGAAGTCGTGTTTTTTTTTATATAGATTGATTCAGTTTTATATATGAATACATAACGATTTCTATTTACAATATTCAATGATATTTATCTATAATATTAAACAAAAAAAATATGCATTATTGACTGAAAAAAATTTTTTTTATTTCGACATGATATCTATTTTTATCATCAAAGAAAAACAAAATTGATTAAATTGGAAAAATTATTAATAAATAAATATCAATAATTTGCCATTCTTTTAGAATACTTAGCAAAATAATAATTATAGAAAATAAATACAAAGAAAAAGTCATCGATCAGAATCTTACTATTGTTCTATATTGACTAACGAGGGAATGTATCCAATTGATAATCTCCGTTTGAGCTCATATTTTGCTCATAGGTAGGGCTCATTGTATAGATAAAAATCCTGAAAGGATTCATGCCATTAGGCTTTTCTTTTCGAGCTATGATCATTTTATTGAACTTTTAGCCTATTGCAGAATAACATGAGAAAAATCACAACAAGGATTTTCGTTCTAAAATTCTTCTCAACCATAGCTCTCATGATCTTTATGGTACTCTGAAAGTAGCAGCTCAAACAGATAATTTTCTCTTAAGACATAATAGGTCTAGAAACTGGACTATTTTTCGAGTTCTTTTATGAAGGTAATGTTTTTTTGCGAACGTATTATCTCAGAAGGAAAACATCCATCTGAGCTGTAACTTTCAGGATATCATAACGATCATGAGAGCTAGTGTTAGGAAGAATTTCAGACTGAAACTCCGTGTTACGTTTTTTCTCGTGCTATCCTACAATAAGCTGAAAACTCAAGAAGAAAGACCTAATAGCACAAATTCTTTCAGGATCTATATTTACATCGTAAGTCCTACCTATGAGCAAAATATGAACCCAAACGTAGATAATAAGTTGAATAGGTTCTCTCGCAAGTATATAAAAAGAAATATTTTTACATTTAAGTAACAATTATTTATAAATATGAGGGTGTGAAAATGATAATTTATTTCATAATTCTTTTGCTTTTTACATATGAACAGTAATATAATATTAAATATAATACAAAAAGAGAATCATTGAAGTATAAATTCATATGATGGCATGCCATATATATATATATTACAGATGCTATATGAACTCGCATGATAAACTTTGTTCATTATAACTATTGCTTATTTGTAGATTAAAAAAATAGCAAAAGAAAAATAAAAGACACTTGTACTTCGTTATTATTTTTTCATTTATTAATTGCAGTAATAGCTAATAAGTTTTCTCTTTCGCTTATTTTCTTTGACGCATGAATTTTCTTTTTACATATATCGGAGTTATGCATGATAGAAAACTAATCTGAAAATGACTTACCGTTTTTTTTTCTACTCATGTGTTCATCGAAGTTGATATAATCTATTCACATAAATGAGTAAATACGTAATTATTACTTACAAAATATTTTCGTATTTCCCTATATTTCTTTCTATGAGTAATATTTGTCTTAACAAATGAATTAGAATAAACTATAAAAATAAAAATATTCATTTAATCAATATTTGTTTTACAATCATAATTCTATAATTTTACTAAAAGAAGAAAAACAACCAATAGAACTAGAAAATATAAATAATGAGTTTTGTCTCAATCAATTAATATTCCTAAGTAGTCATATATATTATTAATGTTTTTTTATGCAAAATGTACAATATGAAACAAGAGAAATACTTCAATAAGATATAAGTATTTTTTTAACATAATCATTCATCCGGAGTCCTATGATAATTATTTAAAACATGAAGTTTACCTTAACATATTGTTATAAGCAAAAAAAATTTAATTTGAAAACCTTTTACATAAGAAATATAGAATCTTAAGATAATTTTTGTTTTTCTTTTTTGAAAAAAAAGATAAAAAAAATTTCAATACGTCTAAAAATAATCAAATATTTGAATGTAAGAAAAAAAATTATTGACATTCTAATGAGAAAGTAACAGTTCAGGTGTCTAATTCGAAAAATACTATTTGTAATAAAACAATACGACTGGTTTATTCTGATGAATATTAAATTAACATTACATGTGTTTTCCAGATCTATCTTAAATAAATTCTTATCATTAACCTCGAACAATAAAAAACAGACATCCATTTGTTTACTGTCATTTTAATTATGCTTTACGATCTTTTTGATAAAATGTGAGTACATAAAAAAAAAATTTAATCATAATATTAACATAGATTATCTGAGATATAGCAAAATAAAAATCTATACTCACTTGAAGTTATATTATTATTGTTTGACTATACTTATTTCTCTTATTAAGAATAATCAAACTATTGACAGTTAATTCAATTATATCAAATACTTTATCAAATAAACTTTGTAATTATTTTTATGATAGAATGCGAAGTACGTTAATAACAAAGATTATTCGAGGTTTATCTATCTCTTATATAGTTTATCTATTGTAAAATGATAGAAAAATATAGATTTAAATGAATTCTTTCTTTTGGTTATATATAATTCTCATCTTTTCTGTTATGTTTATCGTAAGCAATAAAAAGAGAATTTTTCTTTTTTTGAAATTTGCGATTTTCAATATCAGCGAATAAATTATTTCATCGACAAAAGAAGTCCCACAACTGGTTAATCGCTTTGAACTCGAAATAATGTCCATCATATATACTCTAATAAGTTATGAATACCTTGAAAAGAACTGCTCATTTTTTCCGAGAAACTGCATTTTTGTGGTCTTTTTTCAATCAAAGTTTTGATGCTGCTCTTCAGGAACAACGGAAAAATGAAGAATAGTTTATTGCAAATCTTTCAAATGTTTGATTTGCTCCTATTCTGATATAAGAACATCGAATCTATCATAGTGTGCACAAGCGATGTAAAAGATGCGCTTTTTCCATAGCTGTATCTTAAGATAGAAAAGACGAAAAGATCTGAAATTTTTACAATAAACTATTCTATTTAATGTTTATTGCTGTGCAAAATTTCAAGATACAGTTTGAAAATCTTTTTTTTCCGACGTTTTCGAGGAGGTATATCGCAACTTTAATTTACAACATCCCGTAAAAATGTAGCATCTCGGCAGAAATAAGCTAATAGTATGAGCATTTTTCAAAGTATTCATAACTCATCAAGATCTACATACATGATGCACATTATCCTGATTCACAAACTATTGATTATTTAGTGGACTTCCCTTATAAATAGAGTTACCATAGTTGAAATTCTAAATTCATGAAACTATTGATCTTAATTCATCTAAACATATATTAATAAACAATGGTTCATTTAACATTAATATGAAGAAATAATATGTCAATAATAACTACATCAAGCAAATTATTTTAACATCATTTTTATATATTGATGTAACAAAGTTATTCTGCTTCAATAGACATTTATTCAAGGATATAAATGTACATTCTTATCTTTCTTTGACATCTTATTTAAGTATTACATGCTTTGTTGGTAAGAAAAAATAATGAGTTTAACTTATTTTAGTAATGTTTAACCTTCCTATTTTAAAGTTCTTTAATAAATGGTACTTGTTTTAGTTTTTTATGTCATCATGATCTATATCATGATGAATTGTTCCATATTAGTTTAATTCTCAAGGAATCATTTAAAGTATCGTGTCAAATGATTCTTAGTTTTTAATTATCCAAATTGTCTCCAGTCTATTTTAATAATTATTAATACTATTCAACTAATAAACATTTTCAAACGAAAATGTTAAGATTATTTATCATGGTAAAAAATGGGATTAGTTTAATAATCTTCTTTTTTCTTTTTGTTTTGTTTTTAATAACAAAGAAAACATCAACAAAAGTCAAACAAAGTAACAATCATACTGACATAACATAGGGTTTGTGTTCAAACATTCTCTTTCTCTCTCTCTCACACAGCAATGCATATCGATATTAAAAGAAAAATGGGCCTACGAAGTGATATTCAAGAAAAAAAGAATCAAAGCAAACAATAATGTTCGAAATTGCTCTTAAAAAAAAACCAAATTTTTCTTCTTGTTTATTTTTGAAATCATTTAATGATGACGCATATCACGTTGACGAGGTCGTGGTGGTGCACGAATAATATTGTCAATACGTAATACCATTTCAGCTGCTTCAGCTGCACTAATTACAACTTGACGTTTAAGATGAAATGATTCAAGAATACCAAGTTGAGTCATATCAGCGATTGTACCTTTTTCCATATCTAAACAAAAAACCAATATTTTAATAAAAAAAAAGAAAACAAAAAAAAAAAAGAAAACTATACCAAGACCAAATGTTGATTTTCCTGAAGTATGAGCAGCACGAAGATTTGCTACTAATTCTGCACTATCATAACCACCATTATCAGCAATAATTGTTGGTAACTAATAATAAAATTTATCAAAAAAATTAGGAATCGATCGAATTGAATTTTAATGATCTGTTCGTATAGAAATAAAGACGAGGATCATAGATTACTGAATCTTACACATATTCCTTGACATATGTATTGGTTACTTAATACAAACTAAATGAATTATAAATTGATTGATAGACCGTGAAAAAGAATTCAAAAACCTTTATAACAATGATTTATCAAAAATATAAGAGAAGAAGTTTTTGTTGAATACTATTAAGGCATAGCGCTGACATCGAGTATAAACTGTTCTATGCACTGAATAAGAGTTTAACCATTCTGAATTTTATATTAAGTGATGCAACTTTTCACAGGCTACAAACCCATACATAATTTGTCAAAAAAAAACCAGGTGCGAACATGTTTGGAGTCAATAAAATTTTGTTCGAATAGACAAAAACAAGGCATTTTTTTTATCGATATTCAGCAACTTCGGTCATAGTAATCATCTTTTCAATTAAAACAGATAGTATATTCGGAATTAGTATAAAAAATGGCGTTAATCTATATATGTTTCAAATTATAATGGTATTCAACAATAAATGATAATTACATAAGTTTTTGAAGTGTTTCTTACGGTCTATTAATCAATTTATACTTCATTTTAGTTTGAATTCACTAATAAGCACATACATCGAGAAACATGTGTAAGATTTGGCAATCAGGAATTCTCCTTATGTAAGCTAAAATCATTTAAAAAATATAAACTATGATTTCTATTACGCAAATAGATCATTAGAATTCAATTAGTCCGATTTCTCTAGAAACTCTTATTTAAATAAAATATTTATTCAATTACTTGTCGAAGTGCACGAGCAAATGATTCAATAGCCACTGATTCTTTGCCAGGTGTTTTTTCAGCTAATTGAGAAACAGCTGTTGCCATTAACATTTCCGAAGCACCTATTTACAAATTGAATTTCTTGTTTCTTTTTTTCTTAACAAAAAACAAACAAACCTCCTCCATAACAAATACGTGGTTCTTTAACTGTTTGTGATAAAACACAAAGAACATCATGAATTGATCGTTCAGCTTCATCAAGAATTTGTTGTGTAGCTCCACGTAATACAATTGTACATGCTTCACCTTGTGCTACACCTATATATGTATAAAAGAAAAATTTCATACTTTTTCTTTACTAAACTAAAACTAAAAAAATACAACCTGAAAATTTAATAAGTTTATCTTCACCAATAATCACTTCTTCAATAAGATTACATTTTCCTAAACGTACTTTATCTGGTGTATCAAATGTTGAAACAATATCTCCACCTAAATAAACAAATTTTTAAGAAAAACTTAAAATAAATATTTGTTTTTTTTTTCTCATTTACCAAGTACTTGTGCTAAACGTTCAACACCTTCAAAATCTGCATGTTCAATAGCCATAACACCTTTATCAGCAAATAATTGTTCAGGATAATCATAAATTAATTGTCTAGAAGAAATCAAATAAAATTTCATATAAATAAAAATTATTCTTATATTTTCTTACCGATTAATAAAAACATTACAACCATGTTGAAGTATTTTTTCAACTTTATCTTTCATTTTTTCTTTTTCAGCCAATTCTAATTCAGCTACTTTAGCAACTGAATCAACACGTACACGTGAACCAAATATTTTTATTTTATCTGTATCCATTGGTGTATTAGCAATAAGTATACGTGCATTTTC